ATCCAAAAATTTGAAGTTTCAGTAACTTTTAGATGAAATAAGATTTTTAATATATTTTCGAGTGGAATGCTATTATAATATACTGGAACGCAAAAGAAATGCCACACACTTCTTTAAGAGGAAATAATTATGTAAAGTAAAGAATTTTGTATCTTCAAATTATGGATATCTTCAATTTGGTAACTTAAAGGTTGAACGATTTTTATTCCATAACCGGAAGTGAAGTTTGAGTCTGCTTATCAGAAATCAAAAACTGCATGTTTAACAAAACAGTTGGCAATATTGTGGAGTATTAAAGGTTTGTACTGGTCATCTTAAGTAATGCAGCAAAAAATAAAATCTCCTTTCGTTTCCCGTAACGATGCTAAGGCTTCTTGAAAATGACTTAAGTACGCATTTCCATTGCTCTAGCTGGAAAATCTCAAAGTAAAGGTGATTTAGAGTTGATGATGCAAAAATAATGAAACATTTCAAACATGATATTTAATGACTAAAAGGGCACTTGTCATAGTAATTGAATAACAGAAGAAACTTTTTGCATTTCTTTTATTGGCATGTTAGGGTGATGCTCAAGCACACGTCAAGGAAAAAAACAATAAATAGTTGCTAGTAATATCACCCGTGTTCCAAAAAAAAAAAAATGTGAGAATCACAAACATTTTGTACACATACTAGTATGAAAGAAAACTAAAGAACATTGTTTTTCACGACATATGTTAATATGCCATTATCAGTTCATTCAAAAACTAATTTAAATTAAAAACACTTTCTTTATTCACTGAGTAAATTGTTTTGGTTTATAGACTAACCAGATTAAGTAAGACACTATGTAGATTTATACAATCCAAATTCCTAACAAAATTGTAAAACCTCTCCACCAGTGAAAACCATTGTCTTAGGTGTCAGAGAAGCATTTAGCATTAAGTACTAATTTTGGATGGCAAGTATCTACTAGCAACTATTCTTAACAACAACAGTTTTATAACTTTATTTTCACACATCCAACTATCAAAAAGATAATCAAATGTATATATTTCTGACAGTGCTGTTGAAAATAATCAAACAAAAAAATATTCCTGGGTAAACATAGCAATGTTGTATCATGTTGGTACAGTGGATACAAAAAGCAACAAAATAAATCCTATTGCAGGAACAGCCCAACATGCATTGACTTCTTTAATATTATCACAGAATGCAAGTTTCACCATATTTGAACATAGAAACTGTATTACAATCCATAATTAGGGTGAAAATATGTATAGACTAATGGATTTACACACTTTTATACTGGAAATTCATGCAAATCATAAATACATTTATACAAGTGGAAGTAATTTAATAATATGCATGACATACTTGTCATTGGTTTCAGGCATTCACTAGCATTGTACTAAAACTTGGAAATTTATCCTTATGAAATCATAGACTTTCGATCTAAACAATATATATACGGTCAATAATTGGCATGCACATTTGATTCTTATTCGTTTTTCTATTATTTATTGATTGATTGTATACTGTTTAACGTCCCTCTCCAGAATATTTCACTGATATGGAGACGTCACCATTGCCGGTGAAGGGCTGCAAATTTAGGCCTATGCTCGGCACTTACGGCCTTTGAGCAGGGAGGGATCTTTATCGTGCCACACCTGCTGTGACACGGGGCCTCGGTTTACTTTTTAAAGATAAACAAATTTAAACAAAATAACAATTCTCAATATTTGAAAGGAATTCAAAATGGTGCAATAAATTGGACGGTTGAAGTTGTTTTCGAATTACTACAGTAACTGTTTTAATTGCTAAATAGTTGATGTTTTATCCGAACCTTAATGAGAAAAAACTATTCCACGGGTTCTAAATTTATTTTAATTTTCAGTTTGAAAATATGATTAGGTCAAAATAAAATTATTGTTTATTTGGAATTGCCTCCCGCCTCATTGAAATGCCCCCTCCTTAAAAAAATATTGACCAGTAGTAGGAAGATTTTTTTTAATTCAATCAATTTTTTTGCCAGTTATCACATGTGCCATACAAAAAAATTAAATGTAGTGTCAGATCTATGCAAAATTATGTTTCTTTTTTGATGGTAGATACTTTTTTTAAAGTCAGAAAATGTATTAACTGTTTACTAAGATTTTTATCAAAATTTTATCTTCAATTTTGAAAAGAAAAATAACTTCCCTTCCTCCCTCCTTTGCCTTAAACCCTTCAGACGGCAATTCCAAACAAACAATTTTTTATGGATGGCCTTATATACTTCACTTGGAATATTTCGCCTTCGACAGATGTTCACTTTTAACAATGAAAGAAGTAATTATTTGTACTTCTACCCCAAAAATAATTAATTATTCGAATTATTACATGGCGGAAAAACGAAATCATACAAAATATTTTAGAACTTTCGACTAAAGAGGTTCTTGTGTGACGTAGCCTTTGAAAGTGTTTTGAGAAGTGCACTTCATTATTTAGAAATGTCGTTCAAAGTACGTTCAGTCTTCACAAGGTCTGGAATTGTCGGTGATTTGTTTAATTGTATTTTATGCAATAAAGAAATCAAAAACAGTACTGTACAAGGATATTAAAATTCATCAACATGGAACGATATATTTTCAGTATTTTCATGCTGTATTTAAAGATCGCTAGAGGTAAGTGTTTCAAGTCAATACCATTCTCCCTGTTTCTTCCAGCCTTTTCATTAAAAAAATGTAGTAAAACGTTTTTATTCGAACAATGTAATTTTATTTCTTGCCTCTTTAATTCATTTTATGTTATTTCATTATGTAATATATTCCATTCATGTTTAGAGACAATGCATCCAACCGAATTAAACAAAAGCTGTAGTTAGATCATGTGTAAAGATCATGTTATACCTCTTACATCTTTAATTCCTTTTACTTTGACGAAGAAACTTAAGTTTCAAGTTTCTGTTTCCGGACATAAAGAGCCTTAATCGAGAAACAAGATATATTAAAACTACAAGTAATTAGAAAACACTGGCGAAGATAGACTCAAGCAATTATTTCGAAATACGTAATTTCATTAAATATTGTAAGATTTTTTTGTCTTTAAAAAAGAAAAACCCTAGAAAAGAAGGTCTTTGTCTCTCTTTCTCTCACTCAGGTGATCTATTGCTTTCTGTTTCGGTCTGTCGTCGTGCTATGTGCGTTAACGTTTAATCATTTTCGGCTTTTTCTCTGGACGCACCGATTCATTTTCAACCAAATGTGGCATAAAGCATCTATGGGTGGAAGGGAACAAAAATGGTGAAATTCATGTCTCCAGCCCCCCTGAAGGGGTGGGATTAAAACCACAAAAATTACTTTTATCTTAAAAATCTTCCTCTTTACTCCTAAATATCAAGCAGTCATACTGTTGGCATGATTGTAATATGCATAGAGCTCTGTTTCAAAATTGTTGAATGCATGGCCCTAAGATTAGGGCTTCTGATGTTAGGACAGGAATGTGTTGTTTATGTAGTGAAAATGCATGGATTCTTTGAAAATCTTCTATTATGCTCCAGGTTAATAAACTTCATGTATACATGTAGTTATGAAGAGGAAGGGTACCTCTTCCATAATTGTATATTTCTAGGCCCAAGGGTCAGGGGTTCTGGTATAAGGATGGAACTGTTTTGATTATATAGAAAAATGCAGTAATTCTTTGAAAATCTTCTTCTCTGCTCCTGGGTGTGAAGGATAAATGGTTTTCATATAGCCCCTTTAAGTTGCTTCGTGCGAAATTTTAACATCCATTTTATACTTTATAATTAAAAATAAAATGCAATCCATTCAGACAAAAATCCATTTTTAATTTATAAATCATGACTAAATTCAATTTTTTCATACAAAGAGTCGAGGTTTTCTTTTCTATGTTTGACCTTTAGCCTGGGGGTAATCTCAGAACTTGCAGTGTTTTTAGCTCACCTGAGCCGAAGGCTCAAGTGAGCTTTTCTGATCAAAATTTGTCCGTTGTCTGTCGTCGTAGTCGTTGTCGTTGTTGTCGTTGTAAACTTTTCACATTTTCATCTTCTTCTCAAGAACCACTGGGCCAATTTCAACCAAACTTGCCACAAAGTATCCTTGGGTGAAGGGGATGCAAATTTGTTCAAATGAAGGGCCACGCCCTTTTCCAAGGGGAGATAATCATGAATAAGAGAAAAATTAATGGCATTTTTAAAAAATCTTCTTCTCAAGAACCACTGGGCCAGGAAAGATGAAACTCATGTGGAATCATCCTCAGGTAGTGTAAATTCAAGTTTGTTCAAGTCATGACCCCCGGGGGTAGGGCGGGGCCAAAATGGCCGATCAAAGTTTTACATAGGAATATATAGGAAAAATCTTTAAAAATCTTCTTCTCGAAAACCACTCTGCCAGGAAAGATGAAACTCATGTGGAATCATCCTCAGGTAGTGTAGATTCAAGTTTGTTCAAGTCATGACCCCCGGTGGTAGGGCGGGGCCAAAATGGCCGATCAAATTTTTACATAGGAATATATAGAAAAAATGTTTATAAATCTTCTTCTCAAGAAACATTGAATCAGGAAAGATGAAAATAATGTGAAATTATCCTCAGGTAATGTAGATTCAAGTTTGTTCAAGTCATGACCCCCGGGGGTAAGGGTGTGGCCAAAATGGCCGACCAAAGTTTTACATAGAAATATATGGAAACCTTTTTAAATCTTCTTTTCAAGCACTTCAAAGCCATGATTAGTAATATTTATATGGAATCATCCTCAGGTAATGTATATTCTAGTTTGTTGAAATTATTATACCCTGGGGGGTTACATATGTAAATTTAAAGCCCCCCCACTTAAGTTAACTTACAGTTCTCATCTGATATGTGTTTTTTTCCTAGCTGATGTGCTCAGGTGAGCGCTGTGGCCCCTGGGCCTCTTGTAATAGTTGAAAGAGTGGATACCCCCGGAGTAACACTTATAGTCTGTCCTGTCCTACGTTGGAGCTTTGTCTCGTTTTGGACGTTAGGTTTGTTGACTTGTCTATAAAGAACATATGGAAATCGTTTCAATTTTATCATTTCCAAACTAATTGAATTACGATGTTTCAAAGACTAGGAAAATTTACAGTAATTGCGTTAGCGGAATTTTCTATTTAAATGAACTTGGAATTGTGCTGTAGTTGCAACGTGCTAGGAAAATTCTAACTAAGTTACGGATACCTTTACGAAAAGACAGTTTTTTCCCAAAATTTCCACTTACTCTGTCCTTTTTAGGTGTATCAAGACAACTCTCAGACTTTGATTTTCTATACAAAAAGCTTAAGGGAAACTTGAACTCAGACATGTAGAAAACCAAAAGATATTAGTATTTTGAGATATATTGCGGAAAATGTAGAACATATTAAAATTATTTAATTTTAGTTGTAACACGTCAATTGATTGGGTAAAAGATTTGATCCATTTTTTTTATAACATAACTTGCCTACCTCACAATGAGTTCAGTAAGTTACATCAAAAACGTATTACTCCGCTTGACGTTAACTTTTAAAATATGCTAAATTTGAAGCCCTTTTTTCGGAGGCAAAATTGTCTCATTGTTTGCAATGAAATTCAATTATAAGGAATGAAACTTATTTCAACTTTTGTTATACAATATTTGCGGTTAATAAAAAAAGTAAACTGCCCCAAGTTATGTTATATTGTATAACGAAAGTTGAAATAAGCTTCATTCCTTAATGACAATGAAGTCTTTGAAAACGGTTCATCAAAATTATAGCAGTAGTCTGGAAATCAGGAAAAAGAGATTAAAAGACATTCTTATATGAAACATATTACGTAGCATCCTTAATTAGGCCTCTACATGTTACCCAACTTTTCTTTTCTTCAATTTTTTTTTCTAGTTCAGTTGCTGAACTTCCAAAACATCACGATGAATAATGTGACCAAGAAGGAGGGTGAAAGTGCCATATTTGTTTGCAAACAAACAGGAAATAATACTGACTACAAATGGTATAAAAATGAAAAAGAAATTTTAGGCGATGACAGGCGCGTCACCATATCAAATACTGAGCAAGAAGGGAAGTAAGTGAAAGGAATATATTATGTTGGTTTTATAGAATGCAAATGAATTATAAATTTTGTAGATTTTGAGATCTATTTAAAGACAAGTTTAAGACAAGGGTTGAATTGTTTGAGAACAAAGGTGTTTCTTTTTCAATTTGTAGACTATCCATCGATGGCTTAAAATTGCTAGACATCGGCTGGTATGCATGTGAAAGGGAAAGCAAAATTCAAACAAAATGGTTTCTTTCGGTGAACACAGGTATGTTTTTTTTTTAGGTCACCTGAGTAACTCAGGTGACCTATTGCTATCCGTTTTCGTCCGTCAAAGTCCGTCGTGTGTTAACATTTGCACATTTTCAGCTTCTTCTCTGAAACCGTTGAATCAATTTAAACCAAATTTGGTATACAACATCTATGGGTTAAGGGAAACATAAATTGTGAATTTTATGGTCCTCCCCCCCTGGGGCCTGAGGGGTGGGGCCAAAACCACTAATATTATTGAAATCTTTTAAAATCTTCTTTACTCCTGGACATCAAGCAATCAAACTGTTGGCATGAATGTAATGAGCATTGAGTCCTCTACCACAATTGTGAAATTCATGGCCCCAGGGTCAGGGGTTCTAGTGCTAGGGCGGGGCTATATAGATTATATAGTGAAAATGCATTATTTCTTCAAAAAGCTTGTTCTCTGCTCCTGGCTGTTATATAAACTAACTAAGTACATAGTTATGGTGAGTAAGAGTGCCTCTTCCAAAATTGTGAATTTTATGGCCCTAGGGTCAGGGGTTCTGGTGTTAGGGAGGGGCTCTATTGATTATATAGTGAAAATGCATTTATTCTTTCAAAATCTTCTTCTCTGCTTCTGGGTATTAAATAAACGAACTAAGTACATAGTTATGATGAGCAAGAGTGCCTCTTCCAAAATTCTGAATTTTATGGCCCAAGGATCAGGGGTTCTGGTGTTAGGGAGGGGCTCTATTGATTATATAATGAAAATGCATTTATTCTATCAAAATCTTCTTCTCTGCTTCTGGGTATTAAATAAACAAACTAAGTAACTAGTTATAATGATCAAGAGTGCCTCTTTTAAAATTGTGAATTTTATGGCCCCAGGGTCAGGGGTTCTAGTGCTAGGGAGGGGCTCTATTGATTATATAGTGAAAATGCATTTAATCTTTGAAAATCTTCTTCTCTGCTCCTGGGTATTAAATAAACTAAGTACATAGTTATGATGAGCAGGAGTGCCTCTTCCAAAATTCTGAAATTTATGGCCCAAGGGTCAGGGGTTCTGGAGTTAGGATGGGGCTCTATTGATTATATAGTGAAAATACATTAGTTCTTTGAAAATCTTCCTCTCTACTTCTGGGTATTAAATAAATGAATTAAGTACATAGTTATGATGAGCAAGAGTGCCTCTTTCAAAATTGTGAATTTTATGGCCCGGGGTCAGAGGTTCTGGTGTTAAGGCAGGGTTCTATAGATTATATAGTGAAAATTTATTTATTCTTTGAAAATCTTCTTCTCTGCTTCTGGATATTAAATAAACAAACTAAGAACATAGTGATGATGAGCAAGAGTGCCTCTTCCAAAATTGTGAATTTTATGGCCCCAGGGTCAGGGGTTTTGGTGTTAGGGCGGGGCTCTATTGATTATATAGTGAAAATACAATAATTATTTGAAAATCTTTTCCTTTGCTCCTGGGTTTTATGCCAATGATCCAAGCATATATATTAATGATGAAGAGAAGTGCATCTAGCAAATTTTTTTTAATGTCCCCCAGGGGGGTGGGGGGGTTACATTGTCTGAAAATAAATTAATTCTTTGAAATCTGCTCTTTGGTATTAATCAACCATTTTATGATAAAATTTGCAAAATTTTGAAATATGTGGCCCCAGGATCAGTGGTTCCTTTGGGGTGAGGTGCAAAACTGGTTATAAAGTGGAAGTGCATTTTCTCTTTGTTACTCTAATCTACGTCAGGGTATTAAATAAATAGAGTAATCATGATAAGTTTATAATTATGATAAGCAATGGTGCCTCTTTCAAAATTGTGAATTGTGAATTTCATGACCTCTGGTTTAAAACACGAACCAAAGTTAATTGTTTGAAAGTTGTTACCCAATACTCAAGTGACTTACAAGGCCCATGGGCCTCTTGTTTATTCTAGGAGTAGAATATGCCTTGAAAATGTCTTTTTCAGAAATTAATTCGTAAAAAATAGAAATATGGCAAACCCTGCCGTTTGATGAACATTATCAATATTTAAAACCCTGTCACGGTAGCCTAGTGGTAGAGCGTTCGCTTCGTGATCGGGAGGCCCGGGTTCGATTCTCGTTCGCGTCGCCGCGTCATACCTAAGACGTAAACAAAGGTAGTGACTGTTCCTTCACCAAGCGCTCGGCACTAGAAGTGAAAGTCACGGGTCTTTCGGATATGACCTTAAAAACGTAGGTCTCGTGTCACGGTTGGCGCTGGCACGATAAAGAACCCTCACTGCTCAATGGCCCTGAGTGCCGAGTATAGGTCAAAATTTGAAGCCTTTCACCGGCATACGGTGACGTCTCCATGTGAGTGAAAAATTCTCAAGAGGGACGTTAAACAATATACAATCAATCAATCAATATTTAAAATGAAGAAATATTATAGCAGCGATATGAAGATCACTTTTCTCTTTCATTTATAATTTTACTGTACAGTAGCATTTGATTAACATTAAAAAGATGACTAATCAGTTGATTGTGCAATCCACTGCGGGATTTATACATTTATATTTCTGATAGACGACCAATACATACATGTACATTTATACTCTTGATTGAAGACGATCTTACCATGGCGCTAAATGAACTGCCTTGAAATATTGCAACGTATTAATACAAAGAAAAATGGGGGATGTTATAGTTTATTTACATATTTACACAAAATTTCACAGAAAATTTATATCCATTATTTAGGACATCACATTCTCACAGAATGGTCATTACGTCAGTGCTTCTACTTAAAGCGCCTAACTCTCATCCATCTGTATGAAACCCAAAAGCTGAACTCAAATCTCACATGTAATAACTCCGGTTTCTAGGAAAAGTAATAAGGCACCGATATGGAGCCATCTCAACGAAAAATATAAACAGACATGAGATATGGGTGATGACAAACTTCATCTACCCGTTTAAATTACAGTAAAAAGTAATGAATGACCAGAAAGCATGTTTGAAAGATACCAAAAGTAAATGGAATTATAGTGAGACCCTTTTAAAATTT